CGACCACAACTAAGTACACGAGGTAAGAATTTAGAAACGAAAGGCAGATTCGAGAAGCGCAAACAAAAAAAAAAAAAAAACATAGCAAGTAAAGTATGATGAAATGGACTAATTAAAGTACCAATTTAAGAGCTGAAATGGCCTGATTAACATATAAAATAAGCTTCAATTTGTGCTGAAGAGCCAACAAATTGTTCCTGGTCGCATTCTGCGCCTGAATTTCCCTGGCAGAATCCACTAAATCAACATCCAAGAGCCGTATGGTCTCCTTTAATTGCCGTATCCGGCTACACCCCTCCACTATCTTGACATTTAAGTCTTGTAGCTGCCCCTGAGCCTCGAAGAAAGAATTGGAACGCAGTGAAATTTCCTTCACTAAATGCAACTCCACCACATCTAAATAATGCGAAAGCTTCTCTTGCAGCACAAAATTCTGCGATACATTCAAGAGGGGGCACGCTGCACGGAATGTTGCCCCGTCCTCCAAAGCGAAATCTTCCTTAAAGTAAAGCGCTGGAACCTCTCTCAGACATGCCACAAGGGCCTCGCCTTGGCCCCCAATGCTATCCAAGCCACCGTCCTCCTTGCTGGAATGGTTCCGTATATCCTCGAATCGATTAAAAGGATCCGAGATCACAGCCGTGTAGCTGTTAAAATCCAATCGAGTAACTTCGGATGAGGCTATGGTGGAAGCCAGGGGCATGAACTCAGGTGGGCTCATGGTGGACGGGGATGACCACCAGCCAACCCACGACGCATCGGATTTGCCAGCGTGCGGGTTGTTGAGAATTGAAGACAAGCTCTGGCTGCTGGCATCGGTGTTGGATTTAGCGGAGGGGGAGGAAGTAGTTCGATCAAGTCTCGTTTCTCTACTGATGAGGCTGGAATAGTCAGTCGGGGACCTTCCCGATTGGGAAGGCTGGGACTCCATGCTCAAATTCTTAGAATCATGAACTAATGGCGGGTTCCAAAGATCACATTCAGCAGTCGAATTCAAGAACGCGATAGAGATAGAGATGAAAGTATTTGGGATAGATCTCAAACAGATGGAAAAGGAATATAATCAAGAAAAGAGAAGTTGCCGCTTGATGAAGGAAAGAGCAATTGAAGTGTGCTCAAGGCAAGTCCGGAGCTGTTACAGATCTCGTTCAAAACTTCTATGCTCTATCAAATGGAATCCATTCGCGTTTAGCAACTCCCTGCCCACCTCCAACTCCTCTGGTTGCCGACTGCACACCGTTGATTAGGCAATTCCACGTTATAGCTTATGAGTAGTAGTAGTGTAATCCCAGACCAAATTTTAATGGGACTGATATCTCATACAACATTGCCGCCCTGCTAAACGTACCTAGTGAATAAGGTGACAATGTTCATTAACATAACTCCAAATAAATAAATTGAACATATAATTACTAAAATTGATAGTCTCTTTAATCTATGCCAATATTTTATAATTGAATAACATTTGATCACCAAACCCGACTAACCAAATTATTACTCTTATGATTTTTGTCATAAAAATTAGTTCAAGAACTATCATTAAAAATGCTACGCTAGTAGCACATGTGGGCCGAAAGGAAAATCAGAATTCTGTTGTTTTTCTATATAAAGCAGCAAGGCATGCAGGTGAACACTAAAATAGAAGAAGTTAGAACACCTGAGTTTGTTTTAGTACAACCAATGTTAAGAATGAGAATTTGAAACTCAAGTGTTAATGGGAGAATTACAAGTCCGATGCTGCTAAATTATGTTTGGCATCGGCAAGTTAAGAGGTGTTATAATACAGTGATTATTTGATATGATATGATAGGTCTCTTTTAAAGTTGAAGTTAAAAGGCAAGCTGTGACAAAAAGGAAAATGTAGCATCTGTGTGAGCTGAAAAGACCGATGGAGCCTGGAACCTACTTGTGATTGTGAAGCAATGGCTTCTTGAATAAAATAAAAAATTCATTCTCTCCCTACAAAGCCCCTGCGAGTTTAGCTTCCGCTCTTGGTTAATTCACTAAGGTTTCAACACACGCAAAAGCAGTTTGGTCCATTCAATTCTTCATGAACAAGCTTTCCATGGCCCCAGATTTCATTCATTGCTGTCCTTCATCACTCTTGGAATCCAAAATAGAAGTTCACCTGTGTAAAGAAAGTTTAAGGCGTATAAAAAGGAAGTACAACTCAATTATACTCCTATACATTTAATGAACTTTTGATATGGTAACCTATTGAATATAAGAATTCATAAACGTTATAGATATGCAAATTCCCAATTAACAAGTGCTAAAATCCTAAATCAATTTGATTTCATTTCAAAGGATGGTAATTCCTAAAAGTGAACACTAAATATGCAAATTCCTAATTAACCAATGCTAATCCCAAATCAATTTGATTTCATTTCAAATGATTGTAATTCTTCAAATTTAAAGAAGTTGGACTCAAAGGGAACAATCGACTCAGTTCACACGACTTTTTGAAAAATGATTAGGCACTTGCGGTTAATAATTGCCAAAAGTTAAGATGGAGATAATGGTTAGATGACCACTCCAATAATCACGAAATCTACAATAGTTCAATGAGTTCAAGAGACCCACGGGTGTTGCACATAGAAGGAATGTCCAAACTACATACTATTTTCTAGTATCTTCTTACTCACAAACCCAATACTAACTTCGATCGTTGGAGTGTGTAGATTGACACCACTTTTTTTCGCATTTTATTAAGTCATTTCATCCACGTTCTTATACTTAATTTTTTTTTACTGAGCAATACTTGGGCGCACCCTAAGGTGTACCCATCATTTTGCAGCAGTAATCTAGTCCTCCAACCATAGTTTGGTATGAAGCAAACTCCTTTTTTTTTTTTTCTTTTTTTTATGTGGTTGGAGTGCAGCAGTCACCCATATGATGATGGAAGAGCTGATGTTGATTTTCTGGAGACATTATTAGTGACAATATCCATTTCTGTTAACCTATCAACGGTCACTGGAATTCCTAAATGGGTGTTTGGCATATGAATCTAGTTGTGGAATTCGAAGTTAAGAAATCGATCTATATTTGTACATGGGTTTGTTTATCTCAAACTATGGTTCTATTAATCCCACAAAACTAGGCTTACCATCCCCTGTTTCTTATTTTATCTAGACTTATAAATACCCGTCTAAAACTAAATAACAATGTCTACAATGAGTTTTCATTAGTCAAAACACAGCTTGATATACATAGATTACACAAACTCAACCTTTCCAACCCACCTAAGCTTATTAGAAACAAACACCCCTAATTGTCTCACTTGTGATATTACAGAATAGTATAGAACAGAACACCAAGCTGTCCCATTTGATCCAATAGATAAATACTTATCATCAGTTCAGTAAAACAAGAAATTAAAATCAGATGTCCAGGGAGTTCAAATCAATTGTAAATCTGCGAGCCGGGAAAAAGAGAAAGATAACCCTTCGAACAGTGAAGATCACTATTTTGGATACTGGTAATATGGGTTTGTGAATAAAAAAAATAAAAACATATGGATTATAGATGTAACTACAGTCTCTTGTGGTGTATAACCGTGAAATACACTCTCTTAATCAGTTACTCATGCGGTTATCTCAAAAAATAGCCGAGACTTCGGCAATCAATTAGAACCAAGGTATTATTTACAAAGATCGTATATAGTTCTATTTGGCTCATTGGTCGACTTATAAAAACAAACCTACATGTGTTTTTATTTTTATTCTAACCAGGATAAAACTATATAGCTGGAAAGTCGTCCGGGAAACAGAAACATTTTGCTAAAAGACTCGAAACAACAATGATAAATAGAATACCCGCAAGAATAAATACCTCTTTCTCAAACCGGTTGCCAACAACGGAGGACAAGGTCTTGCAAGCTGCGAGACTAAAGTCACCATAAGATGATCTGACGATGGTACGACAAAATCATGTCCTGGTGAGCCCTGAATCTCCCTCAATCTGATTTGAGCAAACTACAAGTCTTCTTCCTCGTGATTCATTCAACAACCGAATGCTGGGTGACCCAGTACGCTTCTGATAAGCGGATCAGAGAAAATGCATCACTCAACCATGTGCGCGGGACCGGGGTATTTGAGCTCTGACGAGTCTTCACCTCGATCTGGAGAATGGTGTACCATATGGCAAATCGTAGAGGTACAATTTCACGGGCGGCTCCAATTTCACGGGCGGCTCCAATTTCCCGGGAAAATACGGACGATTATTCCCCTGGAAAACAAACTCGTTCGATAAAAGTTGTCATTTGCTGAGTGCATGGGGGGAGAACGGTGGAGGCGATACGTGATGTGGGGTTGAAAACGCACTGAGAAATGCGTTGTTGGTATTGGTACGGTTTGCCGAGGGGAGATGGCTTTCGCGCCATGAATGAAATAAAAAGCGCGCGGTGCTAATTGATTTGTTTTGGGTCGGTAATTGACAGAGCGCTGCTCGTTCGCTTGCTAAATTACCCTCTCTCTCATAAATTAGAATTGGCAATATATATATATATATATATATATATATATATATTCACAAATGTCACTTTTAGGACCTGAATTTAGAAAAATGAGTTTAAAATCTCATGCTTCACTTTTTTTTTGTTTTAAAAAATGAAGGTTTTTTTTTTTTTTTTTTTTGCGTGTGAATAAAATGTGCTTTTATTGAGTTGGAAAATATATTAATTTAATATTTCAAAAGGAACACTTAAATAATTTGCATTTGAAAAACAGTTATAAATTATTCATGAACTTACTTAAGTCGAGTTAACCTAAAAAAATGACTTAGACAATTAACTTGCTGAGTGGAATATGCTAACACGAAACTTTTAAATAAAGTGACAAAATAATAATAAAAAATTAGATTAAATAGGCACCAAGCTCAATCTTCAAAACAAACAAATTATAATTTTCCACAAATAAAGCTTAAGAGAAGAAGCTCGACTTAAAACTTGTTTTGAAGTGATTTTGAAATGATTAAAATTAAACTTCGATGAGGTAAAAATTAAAATTAAACTAGAGCATCCAAGTCTGAAAACATAGGGAATCCTTTACATCATCATGTACATAAGCCGTGCACTACACTTATCTTACAAATTAAGTGTACTAATAAATACATAATACAATCACTCGATCTTTAAAAGGTGGAGACTGGAGGAGTTCAGAATACCCTCACCCTGAACAATGAAGAATCTGGGTTAGAAGGAAATGCTGGAATTGATTGCAATAAAGTTACTTGGGAGAAATCTGTACAACTAAGCTGGCATGGTCATTGCAAACGTCATGGTTGAATTTTGCTAGCAGATTGTAGACCAGATTGAAGCCTACTCTGAAAATGTGCCTCCAGCCTGCAAAGAACATGGGCAAGCCAACTCAAGGGAGACTGAAAATTTAACAGGATGGTACTTCTACAAGATCCGCGGCATCGTACCTTGTTGCACACTTGTAGTAAATAGTCTCGGGAGCATTATACGTGCGTGCATTACCAAACATTCTTCTCACATCTGCAGTAAACATCTCGAAAGTAATGTAATATTGTTCTGACTCCACCCGCTTGGACATCGTCTTTAAATCTACAGAACATTGGCGAACTATGAGCAAGAAGTCTTGTTACATATCATCAATCGACTTGTATCATATAACAGGAGTACAAAGGGATGCACTAATCATTAATCAACAGAAACAGCTTCATCTTGTGAGAAGAAACAATAGGAACTCCATTTAGGAGCAGGTTCCCATCTAAAACACACCAAACTCGAGACCATGCTAAGTTGAAATCTGAAAATGATTAAAAGATAGAATGCCAAAAAAGAAAGTTCTAAGGCTGTAAACGCCAGAGTGTCAAATTTGATTTTACATATTATCAACTGAAGGACTGAAGGCCGCAGGGAAGGGAGTTGTTGAAATACACAGCAAACCATTCTGGAAGGCCATCTGACATCTATCTAATATCCATGGACTATTGTCCATTTGAAACACGTTGCAATTCAAACAAGCAAGTTACCACAATACACGAGAGAGTTGCATCATACTAGATTCTATCCTACAACCTTTAGTTGTCTGTCATCATTATTTTTTCATTTTGTTCCAACAAGGAAAATGTCATTGAAAAGTTTTTCTTAAAAAAAAACAAAACAAAACAAAACAAAACAAAATCCAGGAGAAGGGAAGAAGAAAAACTATCAACCATATCCAAGGAACTTCCCCAACTGACACAATAGCCAAGGAACTGACCCAACTGACATAACTGTCATATTTTTAACGAATTGTCAGTGAACAGTGCTTTAACAAAGTGCAAAAGCAATTCTAACATACTAATAACCTAAGAATGCAGCAAAGATCCATGAGACTAATTCGTTAACTTGAGAGTTCTTACCCACTGGATCCTTAATAATTTCATAATAATCAGGCACATCACGAGCATCCACTGGTTCCTTGAATGGCCACGCATCAACATGGTCATGCATTGACTGCTAGTGTGGAAAAATAACAGTAAGAATTAATTAATAGAGGCAAGGACTACACAGATGCAAATGCCAAATTTAAAGTGAGAATAGAAGAAGTAACAATACAAATATGCAAGTGAACCAAAAATTCTGAAATGTTCAAAAAGTTTTGGCCAGGGATTGACAATCGAGTAGACTAAGGATAGAAGTTGCCTCAAGCCTATCTTTCATAAAGTTGTTCTGGACAAACAATGATACTTGAAAAAATTAAGTGTGGCAGGCACTATCAGTCTCTCATTCTCCTCTTTTTAAAATGAAAACTGAAAACATAGACCTCCCCAGCTTGATTTTGCAGGACATCGTTAGATGTTATCACTAGTGTACTATAACATGTGTTCATACTTAATCAAATCAAAATTGAACTAAGACCATCATGCACACCCAAAAATGAAAATAATAAGGGAACGGCCCAGGACCCCTGGGTTATTCTTTCACCTACTTTTGAGGAATATACGTACATGTTTCACCAAAAAGGAAAATAAGAAGTTTCAAACAAGAGACTTACCTTGAGAAGTGAGCGCATGAATGCAGTCAAATGTTTCTGATTTGAGATCCCGTCAGCAGAGTTTAAGGCTCTGTAACGTGAGAATCCCCATTGATCAGGTGTCCATCCAGCCTCCTCTATTATCAAAAGTAGCACACTTCTTGTCAGTTAACTAGTAAATCTGAATAAACAGATTGCCATTAAAATTATTACGAAGTGGCAAACTTTTTAGCTAGCGAGGGGAGTAAAAAAAATATGCACCCTTCAAGAGCACAGAGAAAAGGGATCTAAAGGATATAGCAAGTGGATATCTGGCGTTAGAGAATGAAAAGGCCATAAAATGATATTTTAAGAGTGTGTAGAATAAGTTAAGTAAAAAAAAAAAAAAAAAGATTTTATAACTATTTCTTGGAAGTCCTTTCTCTTTCCTTCTAGGTTATATATACAAATAATTGATGTTTCAAAGCTAGTTAGGATGTTATTCAACGAATAGCATAGCATACAAGTAAATAATTCCAAGGCCAAAGGTAGAATGAGAATCTTACTCAAACCCGGGATCTCCTCAACTTTAATGGATCTTTTGGGCACTCCTGCCTCCTTCTGAAACAGCCAAGTCTTGATTAGACTCAATATGGAAATAGCAATTCACCACTCATTAAAATGAGAAAAAAGAGAAGTTTAAAAGGAGGTGTTATTATGTACAACAACAAATTCCCAAGTTCTAGGTGCAGCCATTCCGAGCCTACCTCCTTAGGAGAAAAACACTATTATATATTGATTTAAAATAGATAATTTGACTTTGTGATTAGGAAAATAGAATCACAAGCCTATTACCTCAATCTGGTCAGGTAGTTTCATCATAACATGATAAAAAGAAGAGTAGACGAAAAATTTAGATATTTCAGTGGAACAGCATATCTCTATGCCGAGAGGAAAGTACAGATGAAAGGAAAACTAGCATATATTCCTTTGGGCATGTTCAAGGACAAATAAGACTGCACCAGAAGTTCATATTTCATTAGGAAGCTCCATCATATAACTAGTTTTTCTAAAGTTCAAAACATTGTAAATCAAGTGCAGTTCAAAGGAAGGATGTAATTCTACAGCATGCTCTCATACAAAAATCAATTTGGTGGTTTGAAAATGTGCTGAATATCAAAGAAATACATATCAAATAATGATAAACGTCAAAATCCCTAGAAAGAAATAAGAAATAAAAAAAATAAATAAAGAACTCCAAACAGTAATCAAGCATAAAAGTGAAATCCAGCCTTCCGCCAGACTTATGTTTTTTTATCCCAAATAAGTAGAAACTAGAAAATAGATCCCCTTTCAGTTAACTTAGAGGCACATACGATGTCTGCCATTCAAAATGTACAAGTATACAAAAAAGGTGATATACAACAAGGCAAGAGTTGGGGTTGGCCCAAGGAAGGTCATTGGTGCCTTTATCCATTGAGCCCTGCTCGTTATGACTTAAAAGAAGACAACAAATTATGTATATTAAAAGAAAAAAAAAAACTGACATTGATAAAAATGTCACGTTTCTAGACATGAAGTCATACCTTTTGAAGATCAAGGCCAGGATAAACAATGTGGCAGTTTGAAAGCTCTCTTATTTTTTCGTCAATTGCCTGCACTAATTAAAACAAGAATTGAAAAATGTGTGTACTACAATTATATCATTACAAGAATTGGTCAAATTGATAGTATTAGGAGGCTGACATTTCAATGTTCCACCTCTACCCAGATTCTTCTCGTTCATACCAATCACATGCATACTTACACAACTACTTCTAATTAGTAATCAGCAAAGTTTAAGTGTGACAGCTCTTTTCTTTTAAATTCCCAAGTAACTCTAGGTAGTTTGACTTTGGTGCACTTCAACAATGCACATTGATCACTTCAAATTCAGATGGTAATGTTTTTAATAGAAACAGCAGAGTTGATTTGAGTTGAATCTATCATTTATTAAAGGAACAAACTGATCCCAAAAAGGGAATGGAGTCAATTGTGAGACCTCCGATTGTCAAGACTTAAACCAAGAGGGGTAAGAAGGGAATTGCACAAGAGTAAGCTAGTGGCAAAATGAGGCCGCACTTTGTGCGGTTGGAGCATGGCTGAGAGTTTTAGTAGAGTTTTGGGGAACCATTGTGGGTGTGGAATTTTAGTTTTTGACTATGTTGCCTTGTGTGGAGAGAACCAGCTCTCTGAAATAGCTGAGTGTTAAGGATAGTTGACCGTTCATTAAGGCAAATATCTAGATATTTGCCTTACATTACGGGTTACCATATTTTCTCTTTTACTAAATGCAAATATATTGTATTCATTTATTATTCTTTCCTTTTATCGCTATTTCCTTATTATTTGTAATTTACCTTATTTCTGTATTCTGTAAATGATTATAAATAAGAGAACTCTCGCCACCATTTGGGTGTGGTGGATTAATCAAACATTCACATGGTATCAGAGCCCTTTCGGTTTAACAACCCTGATCCTTTCTTCTCTATGGCTTCCGAATCTTGTTATCATCTTCTTCCTTTCAATACTCTAATCCATATGATCACCATCAAACTTTCTTCCTCCAATTATCTTCTTTGGAAAAGCCAACTTCTCCCTCTTCTTGAGAGTCAAGACATGCTGGGCTATGTCGATGGAACTATGGTTCCACCACCTCGCTTTGAACCAGAAACCTCCTCAACATTCAACCCCAAATATTTGGCATGGAGAGCAGCCGATCAACGACTTCTCTGTCTCCTGCTCTCCTCTCTCACTGAGGAAGCCATGGCTGTTGTCGTTGGTCTCTCTACTGCACGTGATGTTTGGCTTGCGTTGGAAACTACGTACAGCCATCAGTCAAAAGCTCGTGAACTGAGACTCAAGGATGACTTGCAGTTGATGAAACGTGGCACAAAACCTGTTGCTGAGTATGCCCGTGCCTTCAAAAAAATTTGTGACCAACTTCATGCCATTGGCAGACCCGTCGAGGACATTGATAAAGTGCATTGGTTCCTTCGTGGACTCGGCACCGAATTTTCAGCTTTTTCTACTGCTCTGATGGCTCTCACCCCTATCCCCTGTTTTGCAGATCTAGTCTCTAAAACTGAAAGTTTTGAGTTGTTCCAGCGCTCCCTTGAGTCCTCTGACTCCACTCCTACAGCATTCATAGCCACTAATCGTGGCCGCACCCATGAAAGTCACCCTGCTTCCTTTACCAACCAGCGAGGTCGTTCTTATTCTCACAAAAACAACTCTTCTAATCGAGGACGAACCCACTCAAGTCAGGGTCGTCGACCACCTCATTGCCAAATATGCCGCAAAGAGGGCCATTATGCTGACCGCTGCAACCAACGGTATGTTCGACCTGATTCTTCTCATGCTCACCTTGCTGAAGCCTTTAACACGTCATGTTCTATTGCTGGACCTGATGCTGCTGATTGGTTTTTGGACACTGGAGCTTCGGCCCATATGACTGCCGACCCATCAATTCTGGATCAGTCTAAAAATTACACGGGTAAGGACTCTGTGATTGTAGGAAACGGTGCATCCCTACCCATTACCCACATCGGTACTCTTTCTCCTGTTCCAAATATTCACTTATTAGATGTCTTGGTTGTCCCTCACCTCACTAAAAATCTTCTTTCCATAAGTAAATTAACGTCTGATTTTCCTCTCTCCGTTACATTTACTAATAATCTTATTACTATCCAGAATCATCAAACAGGAAGGGTGGTGGCAACCGGTAAAAGAGATGGAGGGCTATATGTGCTGGAGCGCGGCAACTCTGCTTTTATTTCAGCCCTTAAAAACAAATCTTTACGTGCTTCATATGATTTATGGCATGCTCGTCTGGGTCATGTGAATCATTCTGTTATTTCTTTTTTAAATAAAAAAGGTCATCTTTCTCTTACGTCTTTATTGCCTTCTCCATCATTATGTAATAGTTGTCAGCTTGCGAAAAGCCATCGATTGCCTTATTCCCGCAATGAACGTAGGTCGTCTCATGTGTTAGATCTTATTCATTGTGATCTTTGGGGTCCTTCTCCCGTCAAATCAAATTCGGGTTTTCTTTATTATGCTATTTTTATTGATGATTATTCTCGATTCACTTGGTTTTACCCTTTAAAATTTAAATCTGATTTTTTTGATATTTTTCTTCAATTTCAAAAATTTGTGGAAAATCAATATTCTTCTCGTATCAAGGTATTTCAAAGCGATGGTGGTACCGAATTTACTAGTACTTGTTTCAAAACTCATTTACGTAATTCTGGCATCCACCATCAACTCTCTTGTCCATATACACCTGCTCAAAATGGTCGTGTTGAGAGAAAACATCGTCATGTGACTGAGACTGGCTTGGCCCTTCTCTTTCACTCTCATCTTTCTCCTCGTTTTTGGGTTGACGCCTTCAGCACTGCAGCTTATATTATCAACCGGTTGCCTACTCCACTTCTTGGAGGTAAGTCACCCTTTGAACTCCTTTATGGCTACACTCCACATTATGACAATTTTCATCCCTTTGGTTGTCGTGTTTATCCTTATTTGCGTGATTATATGCCTAACAAGCTTTCTCCCCGCAGCATTCCTTGTATTTTTTTGGGTTATAGTCCTGTTCATAAAGGGTTCCGCTGTCTTGATCCCGCCACCACTAAGCTATATATCACCTGCCATGCTCAATTTGATGAAACTCACTTTCCTGCTATCCCTAGCTCCCAAGCCCAACCTCTTTCCACTATTCCTATTTCAAATTTCTTGGAACCACATCTTCATCATATTGATTCATCCCCCCCTACCACTTCATCACCGCACATTCCTCAATCCAGTTCATCCCCGTGTGATATTTGTTCTGACCTTGTAGATGAGTCTGTGCAGGTTGATACTTCTCTTGCAGGTTCCACTTTGTCACCCTCGACTTCTAATTCAACCTCTATTGAACCTCCTGTTGATTTCTCTTCTTTGGGCACTCATCCTATGATCACACGCGCCAAAGCTGGTATATTCAAGACTCGTCATCCAGCAAATCTTGGTATGTTGGGCTCATCTGGACTTCTCTCTGCTCTTCTTGCATCCACTGAGCCAAAAGGATTCAAATCTGCGGCTAAGAATCCTGCTTGGGTGGCTGCCATGGATGAAGAAATTCGAGCGTTACAACAAAATGATACTTGGACTTTGGTTCCTCGCCCTGCCAACACCAACATCGTGGGCTCTAAATGGGTGTTTCGTATTAAATATTTGCCCGATGGATCCGTCGAGCGTTTCAAGGCTCGTCTCGTTGCCAAAGGTTATACTCAGGTTCCTGGTCTTGACTACACTGACACTTTCAGTCCAGTTGTCAAAGCTACCACTGTCCGTGTTGTGCTTTCTATTGCAGTCACAAATAAATGGCCTCTTCGACAACTTGATGTCAAGAATGCTTTTCTCAATGGAACGCTTATTGAACGTGTTCATATGGAACAACCTCCTGGGTATGTTGATCCTCGATTTCCAAAGCATGTTTGTCTATTAAAGAAAGCTCTCTATGGCTTAAAGCAAGCTCCTCGTGCTTGGTTTCAGCGTTTTAGCTCATTTCTTCTCACACTTGGGTTTTCTTGTAGTCGCGCTGACACGTCCCTTTTTGTCTTTCATCAGCAATCTAACCTTATCTATTTGCTTCTTTATGTTGATGACATTATTGTTACCGGCAACAACTCATCTCTTATTAACAGCTTTACTCGCAAGCTTCATTCTGAGTTTGCTACCAAAGATTTGGGTTCTCTCAGTTACTTTCTTGGTCTTGAAGCTTCACCCACTCCTGATGGTCTNTTTATCAGTCAGTTAAAATATGCTCGAGATATTCTTACTCGTGCTCAGTTGCTCGATAGCAAACCAGTTCACACTCCCATGGTTGTTTCTCAACACCTGACTGCTGATGGTTCTCCTTTCTCTGATCCTACTCTCTACAGATCTCTTGTTGGCGCCCTTCAGTACTTGACTATCACGCGTCCAGATATTGCCTATGCTGTCAATTCTGTCAGTCAATTCTTGCATGCCCCTACTGCAGATCACTTTCTTGCTGTCAAACGTATTCTTCGCTATGTCAAAGGAACACTCCACTTTGGTCTTATCTTTCGTCCATCCACTGTTCCTAGTACGCTAGTCGCTTATTCGGATGCTGACTGGGCTGGTTGTCCCGATACTCGTCGTTCTACATCCGGCTATTCTATTTATCTTGGTAACAATCTCATTTCTTGGAGTGCCAAAAAGCAACCTACTGTATCACGCTCCAGCTGTGAATCTGAGTATCGTGCTCTTGCCACAACTGCTGCTGAACTTCTTTGGGTTACGCATCTTTTGCATGACCTCAAGGTCCCTATTTCACAGCAGCCCTTACTCTTATGTGACAACAAAAGTGCTATTTTTTTGAGCTCTAATCCTGTTTCTCACAAGCGGGCCAAGCATGTTGAACTAGATTATCATTTCCTTCGAGAACTTGTTATCACTGGCAAACTTCGTACACAATATGTACCCTCTCATCTCCAAGTTGCTGACATCTTCACAAAGAGTATTTCTCGACCTCTTTTTGAATTTTTCAGATCCAAGCTTCATGTTCGTTCAAATCCGACGCTCAGCTTGCGGGGGGGTGTTAAGGATAGTTGACCGTTCATTAAGGCAAATATCTAGATATTTGCCTTACATTACGGGTTACCATATTTTCTCTTTTACTAAATGCAAATATATTGTATTCATTTATTATTCTTTCCTTTTATCGCTATTTCCTTATTATTTGTAATTTACCTTATTTCTGTATTCTGTAAATGATTATAAATAAGAGAACTCTCGCCACCATTTGGGTGTGGTGGATTAATCAAACATTCACACTGAGGAACTTGTTTTCTTGTAGCTTGCATTTTGTATCATCTTTCCAGCTCTTTTCTTATCGTTTCTATTGTATTAAGGGTTGCTTTTTTTATTCCACAATAGAATAGAAGTCGAGTACTTGGTGTTTTTGCAGGATAGTTGGGGTGGATACCTAACTTCAACTCAACATACATTTTTTTTTTTTTTTTTTTTTTGGTGGGGGTGGGGGCCGGGATTCACAATAGACTAAAGATCCGGGCCCAACTAGCATTGAGGAGGTGGGGGTACTAATTGATAGAGATAGCCCACAACTTTATTTTGGAAGTGGACACAAAACTGCAAATTACTGGGAGTTCCACACAATATGGTGTACTAAAGGGGCCAAGCAAATCCGTTAAGGGTACTGAACTTTGCAAAGGCGTAGTGCCCTCCCTACCAAAAGTCGTAGTGGTTGAGGATCTTTTTCCACTACCATTGGGAAGCTCAGATGTCACTTTGAGAGTGTAGTTGCATGAAAACAAAAATCTATCCAAAAATAAATTAACTATGAGAGATAAAACCCGCTAAAAGAACTAAAGCTTCATTCATCTTTTAGACTTCAATCATCAATAGTTGCATGAACATAAAATTTTATTATAACTACAAATTTGAATGCTCAATGATCAAGCAAAAAGATATCTTGCCTGCCTCTGACGGCGAATCATTGTAGACAGATCAGTGTATGGAAGTTTTGGATCAATTTTGCACTCCATAAGGATTCCTCCATCGTAGTCTTTTATGTACCTGGAAAGAAATGTGTTATTATTTTTTTATATTTCTAATTGCTGAACTTTGATATAGAAAAATTAGGAATGCGAAAGGCCAACAATGACAAATAACAAAAAGATGGTCACTTAACAAAAGGAGCCAAACCATAATCTTACGTAGAAGAAAAGGCTCCAATCCAAAGGAGTAACAAATAGTTCCAAAAATAATTTAGCAACAGACATCCAAAGCAAGGCACAAAACCTTGCAAGCAATCAAACCTCCGCTTGAGAAACTTATCATGCACTTCAAAATTTTGAAATGTAAAGCGTAAAATACAATACATTTGCATTTCCAGATACAAGCAATAGCAGCCAACAGGTATATTACTTTCTAGCTTCTCTCCCCACTCCCCAGTAAACAATGACTTGAAAAGCAATGGAAACACATCAAATAATATCAAAGAAAAGATAGTGAAGGTGTCCAGCTTAAGGAAGACAAGTCACAATTTTTAAGTTCAGAGGTTTGCACAATCTTTGATTCCTAAGTAGCTCATATACTTCCACCAAAAACATTGAGTCCTAAAGGCACATCACACATGGTAGGAATAATTGCCCAATCGATTATTCTAGAGAACATAAATGTTAACGAACATGAAGTCCAACTTCAGTTACACTTAGGGGGCTTCAGGATTGGAAATATTAGGACAGTAAACGAAACCCTCCAATCAAAATGGATATGGAGGCATATAGTTGAGTAGAAACTGCTTTGGAAGAGAGTCATTGTTAGCCTTTAGATTTCACCATTAGTTCCACCAACTTTTGGATGGAAGACCCTTTGGTGACGTTAGCAGACTCCCACCGGCCTTTCTGGGAGCATCCTTTCAAGAAGGATAGAGACATTCTATTGACACGTCTTATTAGGGCTTTCCTTAGGAGTTTAGGAAGGAGAAGAACAAAGGATCTTTAAGGCCAAATATCGAACTTATCTTATTTTCTTGATGGTGTTTTGGTAATGACTCATAGATATAATTATTTTTTCTCATCTTTTTCTAGTTATAGTCTAAGCAATCTTTTGATGAGCTGGAGGCCTGCTTGTAACCCTCTTCCTCATTTCTCTTTTGTACATGTGATCTAATCGATAAATGAATAAAAAATAAATAAATGTTAACTGACTTATATTATTCTAATACAACACTGATTGCTTTAGTTAAACCTATATAAGGCTATTGCTACTTCTACTTTTATATATATATATATATATATAACAAGAGGCGTATTTTCATTGAAGATGTGAAATTAAACTAATGCTCATAAGATACAAACTCTAACAAGAGTGGAATGAGGAAAAAATGAATAAATAAGTTTTACTATTATTGCTTGAGAAACACACAAAAGAGGACATCAAAAGATTGAATAAAAGTAGAACCACGATTACCAGACAGCAGTAAGCTTAATAGATGGTCATATTTTTTAAATGGAAATTCAATACATTTTTTATTGTTCTTGTTGTTTTTTATTGTTAGCCTTGACTCTCAAGTACACTTGAAACTGCTATGTAATTATACTATTTAGTAGTACGTGGTTTTGAATTTTTATTTATTTTTTCATGTAAATAAAGACCAAAAAAGGTTGCATGGCCACCTTTAGCATTTTAAAACATTGCAGAAAGAGAAATCAATAGTGAATACTTCCAAATGAACAATGAAAAATATATGCTCTTTGTTTGTCTCCAAAAGTTATGAAAAGAAAACTTCAGTAATCTTCAAAACGTATTTGTGACATACCCCTGCCACCGGTCCTTCTCCAGGTGTATTTCTTTCGTGAATCCCTACAGGTTTAAAGCCCAGGTCAATCAATTATTCATTTTGATATCCGGTATGAAAGAAGAAGACTATAAACCAGTGAAAAATATACTCGAACAAAATTGCATCCCCTAAGTGAAATTTTCTACAAGAACATGATAACAAAATCAATCCTGAATTAACTGCATTGTCTTTTTTTTAAAATAGACAGAATTAGCATTTAGTCAGAAAGTGTAACACAATTTATGTGAATGAATGGAGAAGCAATACAGAAATATGTGAGTTTATACGAGAATAAGGAATAAGCTAAAAAGCATCACGATAAATATTTTAAAAATACACCACTAGACCTGCTTGGTAAAGTAGCCAACAGCATTATTATCCGCATATGTGAGAAAATGAGTTAGGCCATCAACATCACGTGCATGCTGTTTTAAGTGATTCATCAATCTGGTACCGTATCCTTTTACTTGCTCATCAGCTGTAATAGCACAAAAGGCTATCTCGCCAAATTTTTTACTGCAATAGAAGGTGACCAGGAAGGAAGGAAAAGAAGAGGAGAGAAAAAGCAAAAGAAGTCAGGAGATTGGCTTCCAACTTAATAAGATCCTACAAGCAACCTAACAGAAACCATTGCTGGCTTCACTATTCTATAGGGTCTCCAACAAAAAAAAAATAGAGATTCTAGTTCATTGTTAAAATGTTCTCAACTTCAATAACAATAATTAGAATCGGAGAACCTATTATTTTTTATTCATTAAAAAAACAAAACATAAAACTTTTCCTGGAGCTTTATGATACCAGAAGAGAAGGGAAGAGATGAGAAGCAAATTTATTTTAGACATAGCATGCCATACATAGCAGACTCAAATTTTTCCTTAGGGCTGGCTTTCGTTGTGAAGTGATGCCATTGCACAGAAGCACATAATACGCATCAATAACAAAGGAACCAATATTGTTTATAAACAAGTAATCCAACTACAAGTGACCACTAACAAATGAACTTCAAAACCAAACCATGTTTTCTAAGTAAGAGGACAATTTGAAATAAGTTAGCCTCACACCGTATAGTAAGAGTCTATCTGTTTGTGTTTTCATTTTTACTTTTTGCACCCAGAAATTGGCAGATACAAATTACTAAATGATGCATGCTATAACATAAAAACACCTGTCATATGGGCGATATGTTATGCCACCAACAACATGATTTCGTCTTATAACCATCACCGACTTATGGTTTCTGCAAGTTAAAATTAGAGAAACAAAGGATAAGCATCAATCCAAAACAAAAAGGAAATAGACTAAAGACCTCAGGGACGAGGATCCAATGCCTAAAATGAGAAGTGAATAAAAAACCTCCAAATTAAGACCGAAATGTGCGTTCGAAGCTTCATTTTCTCACCTCCCAAAAAGACACATGTTGTAAGTGAAAGTACCTGTCCATAACAAGACGGACAATGTATTCCTTGGGCATGTTAGGTAGTTGTCGGGCGAAAATATTCTTCAATCCAATTAACCTAAAAAGTTCCACGTAAAATGCAATATTGCATCAAATCAATTATTACATAAAATGAGATCATATGGAAGACATACAGCCTATTGTGGAGGCTACACTAGAGGTGAACATGTCATCAGAAGCATGAAAAACACTGCAAGACTGTTACAGAAAAGGAATTATATGCAGCAGAAAACTTGGGCAAAGAAAAAACATACCAAACCATATGCTCATCAACACCATCGTTTGAAATGCATACAAATTTGAGTAACGCAGCTTCCTCCTGAAACATTATGAAATCCCCCTTAAGAACTTCTCTTGTAATGCACAGAATTAATAGCTTAAAACAAGATCAAATCCTTATCAACTTCAACCAAATGGACAGAACGCAGCTGAATTAAGGGATCACCTACATTTATCTGTATGTCATTACTCTGTGATACAAGTGAAGATGCCAAAATATTTTTAAAACAAAATACAACAAATTAAAAATATTTCGTCAGTTGGTGAAAAGTTAGTAGTAAGGTCTGATAGACCACGTGTTGCAAAGAAAAACAAACTTTAATTAGTATTAACAACAAAGATTGTGTAGTTACTAAAATCATTATCAATAGAAGCCTAAAATGAGATACAATTTTGTTACTAAGTGAGCATAATTTAGCGATAATTGACAACTACTTCCCTTGAGGAGGTTCAAATCTCCCATACCCCGACTTGTTGTACTAAAAGAAAAAAGAAGAAGAGAAAGTTTTGCTAACACATATACTTTTATCCAATCTTTTGCCTATTCCTTGAACAAGAAAATATTTATTTTCAGCCAAGTACTTTAAATATCAATTTGATTTTATTAACACAATGCTTCATTGCTCTACTCCTAAAAGGATGACCACAAGACAATTGAAGTACACATTCTTACAAACAATAGGGAAACTGCACAAGTTAAGAATCCATAGAACTCCAAACATTTTTGCTGAAGAGGCAGCCAATTAAAAGGTGGTTCCTCCCTTCACTTGCTACCAAACAAAGATAGCAGCGAGATGGATTCAAATAGCCCCTCCACCAAACTAATTTCATTAAATTTGAAACCAGACCCCGTTCTCTATTCAGTGGCCTTATTTTCTTTCTTCTCCACCTTTTCTTTGACTCACACGGATGGAAGACACTAGTCACTCCACCTCGAGATTTCTAGATGTTCTCTTTCTGTTTGATTAGGGGTAATATCCTTGGGAAGTTTTAAAGAAAATGCATAAAATGTAGCCACCATTTTAGTTGCCTCCAATAAAGACACTCAAACTTCCTCCCATGGGATTTATCGAACAAAATTCGAATGCCCCTTTCTTTAAAGGATATCTCCATCCATAACATGTAATTCTCCTCTCTTTTTTTTCAATTTAAGAAACTACACTTTCATTGTGAGAATGAGAAATGAAAGAATATGCAAGGACAGAGAAAAATAACAAGAAAAGAAGTTCTACCCTGACTACAAAAAAAGGACCCAACTCCAATCCAAAAGAATGAGACCAAAAGTTCATCACCACAAAAAGGCCAATAACTAAAGCCCATTAGGAGCTGTTATGAAACATTCGGATTTGTATAAGAGGGATCGGTGATGGCAGCAATGATGTCAACAGAGGGTCATCGGTCAGTTTCTTTAACCTCTTTTAATGGTGTTACGCCTCTCATAGTCTAGCTTTTTAGCTGTTTTCACCAATTTCATTATTTTGACTTAATTTAGGATATATTGGAGAAGCTTTAGGAAATTTCGAATTTTCTAAAGACTCGAACCGAGCCAGGAAGTCAACAACCAAGCAAGTCACCATTTGGATTTTTAAGCAAGAAATACTGGTAGGAATTGACTAGGACTTGGGCATATGAATTATTAGCATGATTAAGGATGATTTGAGCATGGAAATAGATTAGTTAAATCCTAAATGATGGATTTATGGTTGTTTAGCTCGATATGCACATTTAGGACTTCCACCATGTAACCAATGACTCTGATTTATTTAAATGCTTTGTTGGGACTATGGCATACTATGTCTTACCGTACCTTGCTTGATGTGCATGTATGTGGTGCGAGTATGATTTATGATTTAGTGTCATCTATGTCTCTAAAAACATGTTAAGAGGTTGAAATACCTATGTACACTCTTGATTGACATATGGATTAGATGCTATGTGCCCTAGAGGATATGTATGTCCTGTTAGTGAGCCTGAGCCTATGTTTTGATTTTCTTGGTCTTTGAGCCGCATTTAGGTCCATTATGATGACATGGGTTGACTAAGTCTATGAAGAGATGGTTGGAGCACAACCCCCTATTCGTGAACTCACCCCTACGGGTGAGGGTTTATTTAGCATATAGGAAAGCGGTGTCACCCACTTAAGGTTTGTGACACACTAAAGAGTACTACTGAGGGAGCTCCTGTTATCGCCTTTTTAACCCTTGAGTCCACATGGTGATCCGCGATTCAGATACTCAAAAAGAAGGTCGCTAAACCTAGACGCATCCCAAATTTCCTCACCCCATCTCTCCCCCAATCAAAAAAATTAAATTGTTCCTCTCAATTCTAATGTCTCAAAAAACTCAAAACTTAATCTTTCTCCTGTTAGATTGGTGTCCGTAAGGGAAAACTCAAAAGCACCTCCTCAACTGATTCTTGTCATCTTTATTTCAACCTAACAGACACCAAACACTCTCGACCAGATTCTCCAAAGGGAGAAGGATAAACACGTTAGTAGCCTAAAGAATCTGTTGCTTCTATGGCTATATAAATAGAAGGCTCTGTAGCACTCCCCAACTTAGAAATCTATAAACAAGTGCGATGGAGATAAAAGCCACTACTCTCCCTCTTTCTTCTACTTAAACTCTACCTCCACCAAACCTCTCATCAAACGGATGCTGAGCGTTTTAGATGCCACCTTGATAATCCGGGTCTTAACTGGTCAAGGTGGTGGTAGGTTCAAATTCGCAACCTTGTTTGAATTGTAATACTCTTGAAAAAAAATCCCAGGTGGGTATTGCCAGCTTTTTCCACTCCCACCCCTTCTCACCCGCGCCACCTCTCTCTAGCACTCGTCCCTCCTCAGATAGAGAAATTGTTCGAAACAACATACAACAGGAACTTTACCAAAAAGATATGATCATAGTTTTGTATGAAGACACACCTCTCTCTTCAAGTTCTCTTCTCTGGAAATATAGGCACCACTGGTCTGTACACTGTCGGCAAAAAATTTCGAAGCATCTTCCTTCACTACAATCCCCGACACAGAATTTCCAGTTGTCCCCGCTGCTGAACCCGGCGCATTGATTCCACCGGCTATGCCTCCATCCTTGTTGATATCCACATTCTCGATCTTCACTGTTGCATTTGGCTTGATCTTGGTTGTACGCACAGCAGACGCTGAGGCAGAGGCCGAAGCAGAACCGCCAGCACCGCTATTCTCGAGTCGAGCAGCGGTGAAGTTGCGCATGGAAGAGCCATTGTCGAAGTCATCCTCGTCATCCTCGACCACGGCATCGTCGGAATCGTCGTCGGAGTCGGAGTCAGCACCGCCACCGCGAGCTGAGATGCTTTCAAGGTCGTCATTTGATGTTAACGCCCCGTCGCGTGTTTCGGCGGAGAATGATGGAGGGAAAGGAGGGACATGGTCCTCGGAGGCCAATTTGCGCTTGTGGATGGAGGAGGTGGCAGAGGCGGAAGCAGAATGAGAGGGGGAAGGGGATTGAGAACTACGGGAACGATTCGTAACAGTAAGGTGAGCGGAGTGCGTATCCATATGAGAAGATTGCGTGGAAGAAGCACTTCCGTGTGATAACTGTAGTGCGGGAACAAAAGCTTGTTGAAGCTGGGTGGTGCTTTATACTGGCCGATGACGGATCCCGATCCTTCTTCCATAACGGCTGTGGCCGCTGTCACAAATGTAAATTGACAAAAATGCCCCGTGGTGTGTATTAAACCTAGATCATATCTGTATATGTATGATTTACTAGTTGGTTTGTTACTAAATTTATGATTTAGAATGTAATCTTCATTATACACATCTATAAATTCATGAGGTCGTGACTCTAGGTGAGGTCATTGTGCCATTCAACTTAACCGTGTGTATTGAGTGATTCCTAATTTCTTTTTTTATTTTCTGTAAAAGAAAAATAAGGGGTTAAATTATAACTTTTTTTTCATTTAGCTTACATATAAAGTTCAAATAAAGCTTCAAATATATTTTTTGAACCAATTTCAGAGTGGAAGAATAAAAATATAATTTTTTATAGTATAGAAAGTATAATTGAAATAAATTTTTTAAGCTCGCAAGTATTTTATATAAATTAACCAAAATAAAGCTTTAACCATTTTATGCTTTCAATTTTCAATTTCATCTAATCAAAAGTTAAATACAATCTTGTGTGGCAATTTACTTGCAGCTTAATTTTTAGCTAGATTTATTAATTAGTTTAAAACAAGACAACCACCTCACTTTGTTTTAACAAAATATGTGGGTATGTATATATATAATGACATAAGTAACGATTCAAATCAAACAATATCGGTTAATTGTGGGTTTGAGTCATTACAAATGATATAAGAGTGAGATATCATGCGATGTGTCATATAATGTTGGCCTTCGAAAGGAGAAAGATTGTGAGATTTCACATTGGTTGAAGAGTAAAACAAAACCTTTATTATAAGGGTGTGAAAACTTCTCGCTAATAGATATGTTTTAAAGCCCTAAAATGAATGATGATATGTAACGTGTAAAAACGGATGTCATTTATTAGTTGTACAATGGACTTGTGTTGTTACATTATACACTTCGACAGATTGAACTATTATATCAATTTCATACCATTTCATTTATTTTCGGTGCATATAGACATTAAAAATTTATAAATATGTTTATTAATGACTTTATCAAATAAATAAAAGTTAATAGAGTAAGAATTTCAATTGTTTTTAGATTCTAAAAGTAAAAATCGTAATACTTTCACGAATTCGTATTGTAATTTTCATACCTTATTCGTATATATACATCGTTTAGTAGAATAATTTAATTATTAATGTTAAATATATATTTTAATAAATTATTTTATATGAAAAAGTGTGGAAATTGACATTATCATGATATATCTGTATAATTGAAACGTCGATTCACATTCGAACCCCCACCTCCCAATGGAATTTTCATATTTTTTAAATCAATTTCCTTAATTGTTAATTTGTGTCGTTCGTTATCCTCAGTATTATCTCCCTCCAAATTGACCGCTCAACCCAGCCCTCTCTCCCATCACTGCCGGTACTTGTTTCCCGGAGGCCGGAAAGCCCTGCGCTCGAAGGGATCTAAGCTTACTCATCTCAATCCAACAAAGCCCCTCCTGCACCAGTACGTTCCCTCCACTCTCTTCGTTTTCTTCTTCTGCATTTCATCGTGTATGAAAGGAAAATGAAACTACTAATTGCAGCGGAACACAAGGATCAATAGTTGATATTAACTGCTGCTAGAATTGTGCCATTCGTGTTAGGTGTTTAGCAGAGATATTATGTGTAAGTGTTTCATGTGGAGTGTGAATTTTCTATACCAAATGTTATTTTTGTAGAAGCTGATTGAGAAAGAAGATTGAAGGGGTTGAAATAAGAATTGGGAATAATGTCTGCGACGCTGTTGTCTTATTACAATCCAAGTCTTGCTTGTAATTACGGGAAGATGGATACGGAACGCATTGCATTCGGACAGTTACGCTCTATTGGAAGGAGAAACAATGGCCATCGCAACCTTACTGTGTTTGCCGCTACAGAAGGGTCTGCAAAATCGAGCGAGTCTGAAGAAACAATTCCTTCTTGGGCCAAACCCGATTCTGAGGAGCCTCCTCCTTGGGCAAGGGAGGAAGGCAAGGAAATTGGAACTCAACAGGGATTTCAGGTCCCTTTCTATGTTTACTTACTCGCCTCATCTATCACTGCAATTGCTGCTGTAAGCTTCCCTCTAAATACAGACTTGTTTTTTGCATTTTGGTTGTTTATTTTTATACTGACTTCTGTGCTACTTCCAGTTTGTTCAGAATTTAATAGAAGTATTGAAAGCTTACTTCTGAGTTACTATTCAAGGCAAGAATGAATGATATGATTATTGAAAGTGTTGAAAGAATGACACCTCCTCTATTTTTACATAGATTTATTTAGATTTACTTTACTATTTAAATTTACAGAAACTATTTAGATTTCCTAGTTTCTAGAATTTACTTATTCTTTCTCCCTTACCAAAATGACATGCAATTCTCTTAAAAGGAATAAGAAAAAATAGCAACATGGTATCATGGTATCAGAGCTGGTTTTGTGTTCCCACTAGGATTTCCTTTAAACTCTAGAAGCCTTGAACTTTCATTTGTGTAAGAGTAAAGTCCCTTTGCAACATCGACTTTCATTGGAGTGGACTCTTGCGTCATTTGTAACAGTTAGGAGAGTGATTACCAATCAATCCAAAACTTAAGTTGATGGGTTACTAGTTACACCAATACTTCAACATGATGAAAAAACAATTTAATGCATTGAAGCGAGGGAGCCTGTTTGTGTGTAAAGTTATTTCTTTAGCAATGTATGATCAAGTTTGGTGCTACGGACACTATTTCTAATTGAAGTCTTTTGTATGTTATTGGAGCGACTTCCAAAACTGCAGATAGGTTCTGTATTTGAGTACGTCAACCAGAAGCCTGTCTTTGGAATTATAAATTCAGACAGCATATTTTACGCTCCATTGCTTGGATTTTTCGCATTTACAGGCATTCCCACTGCTGTAAGTTCCTCTTTCTCCATTTTTTTGACATTTGTGAAGGGATTATCATATCTTTTCGTGTGCATTTATCATACCATGAAATTATAACACTAACCTTTTGTGTCTCTCTAGTGAACATAAATATGAAGTACCCATCTTTCTGTTTTTTGGGGTGACGGGGGAGCAGAAAATTGGATATAAAAATTTTAAAACTAAACCTTGTGTCTTCTCTGAGTTGCGTCATTTCTTAGCTAGAAACCTTGCACAGAAGATGTCAACTGCATAGGGGTAATAAGCGGAATGGCAATGCCATTCCAAAAATATGAGCTCCCACTTACACAAGGCTCTTTGTCTAATTTCTGGAGACAGGCATTCCTTTGGTTCAAATCTGTTGAAGTGGCTAATAAGGAAGCTGAGGATCAAGACAGAAGGGATGGGTACTCGTAGAATACCTTCCCAAACACGAATTTACGGTCCCTTGGAAGTAGTAATGCTGTTTCGGCCTTTTTTTTTTGTTCACTTGTGAACTGTATATTTCATATGAGCATGCTACAGTGTTGTGTATCATTATTTATTGTTTTTATTTAAATGAGAGACTGGTTTCCTTGAGATGTATGAAAGTAAAAAAGCAAAGCAATGGAAAACAAGCCCAAAACAAAAGAGAGCTGAAGAAAAAAATTGCAAGGACAAATATTTGGTTGTAGTCGAGAAGGACCAGCAGGGGCAATTGAAGCTAGTCAAACATTGTATCTCCTTTCCAGAATCCTTCTATACCTTTAAAATCTTCTTATTTCTCTTTAGGAAGATGTGCAAGTGTTAGCCAAGGAAAGCAGGTTGTCACAAGAATCTCCTTCAACATAGTATCTGACAAGTCTAACTTGAAGCCATCCCCACCTCACCTCTAAAGTTACTAAAACTATTAATTTCGACATCTTTGGAGAAAGTGATTCAAATTCTTTGATGCATGCGTATAGAACTAAATGCACCACTAATCCTTTTGCTACAAATCAGAAAGGAAAGGGCTAACAAGAGAACACTCCAAAGACTAGTGGGTTCAAAGGTGAAAGTTCCTAATGAAAAGCATGCAAAAGGGAAAACAAGGAGGATGTATCGTTGGCTTCCCTGTCAGACTAGGGTCCCTTGAAATGAGATTTAAAATAATTACCACTCTCAAATGAAGACGGGACAGAAGCAATGCACATAACTTTCACAGAAGAAAAGTAGTAGAGACGGTGATAAGACAACAATGGGGACCAATGCAAGTCTATTGGGCCTCCTAGAAATGAGCACGAGTCGGTGGAAATTTTTGTGTTATTGGAAAAGCAAGGAGACCAGGGGATGTTGCTTGCCTTGGGTCACTGCAGCAGTATGCCCCACCTCACACGGTGATGTGTGTTCTATAATCTCATGCAGATGTTGGACTCGGAGGTAAATGTAACTTTGAGTTTGGGAGTGAAGTCTATTTTGAGTACATGTACTTGCTTCTTTTATGCCTTAGACATGCTAATCTCATCTAGTACATGCAGGTCACAAACTCACAAATCAAATTCAGGTAACCCTAATTCATGTATGTATGTTTATATAGCTTACTATTTTGTACATTCCAAATTCACGCTACATAAATTTGTACTTCCCAATCCCAAGAAGAAAAATGTCGGCCACTTCGTCAAATGAGGGTGATTCTTAACCATTAAATTATCGATTTCCAGTCCACACTTCTTGCACAGATTATATAGAAGTTAGTCTTGCTCAAGGGGGAAATAGTCTTCCATGAAAGTTTTTGTGGGACCTTTGAATTACAAGATTTTTGAACATAATCTACGTTTGTAATTTAGTGGGTAAGGGAGCTTTGCGTTACAAGATCCTGTCCGTTCATACTAAAGTTGCCAATGTTAAGAACAGCACAAGGAAGAAGCTGCAGGAATAGAGGAAAACATGAGTGGGTGTGATTATTAGAGACGAAAGTGGTGGAATTCAAGGCGCTGCGTACCCAGTTTTGTACTCAGCTCTGTGCTTTGTAAGGATTGAAGTTGGGTCGGCGGATGAATCTGTGAGCTGTGATTGTGGAATCCGATTGTAGCCACTTGATTGAATCGGGAACTGGTACCATGCACACGCTGAGGGAGGAAGGCGTTTAGATGGGAGATATCCCAAGAGTTTGGTTTTGCATTTACAACAAGTTGAATTTAACTCTCCCTCACAAATTAGGGGGAAAAAAACGAGACTTAATGAGCTGTTTGTAAGCTGGAAGAGCTTGGGTGTGAGATTATTAGGCTTTTAGCTTCTGATCTGGTGGGCATTTTAGTTCCAAGTCTAGGCGTTTCTCAAGTGACGACGAACAACATCATCGACGACAAAAACAGTCAGAAAAGAAGGGAAAACGACACCAGGAATGAGGAAGGAAGGAGAGGAAGAGCTAGGAAGGGCGAGGAAGAAGAAACAATAAAAAATACATTCCCTGTCTACTAAGGTGGAAATGAGGTTAGATACTATTTCCAATAAAAACCTTCCTCCGTCTACTCTATGTTGATCAACTTTAAAAAAATAAAAAATAAAATACAATTTACAGCTGCTACATTACCTTATAATACATTCCCTGCCTTGCAAGGTCGGCGACCTCAGATCATTTGCCCGCCATTGAGCTGCTCTTTCCATCTTCCGTCTCTCTTCCTCCATTTCTACCTGTAAAATGCTGCGGAACCTTCAGACACGTCGTCGCGGTCCCTATGGCGCTTACTTTTGCGCCTTCGCTGCCGCTTCGCTGCTTCTATTTTCAGTCTCCCTCCTTTACACTCGCCTCTCTCGCTCCCAGTCACATACTTACTCTCGTCCCATGTTTCCTAAATCCCTAGGCAACATTCTGGTCTCTGATTCTGATGACGACAGCGATGTTATTTTGGGCACTACTGCCACCGATGAGGACAAGATCGATGAGCTCGATATTGTGGACGAGGACGTCCAATCTAGGGCATCTGGCGATGAGGAATTGGGAGAGGATGAAGATCAGTCTGATCAGGTCAGGGTTTCTGGATTTTATTTTGACCACGTTAGTGGAGCCATTAGGAAGGTTTTTGATAACAAACGTTCGATCCAAGATTGGTCTGACGAGAATTCTGGTTTTCCTGTCGGATTAGGTGAAGAGGATCGCAGTAAAGCTGCATTTAGCTCGGATGATGTGCCGGTTGACGAAGAGGTGAGGAGGAAATCAAGGGAAATGACTGGGATCGAGGACGCGCTTTTGTTGAAGGTGGGTGGTAGAGTTTCGCCCTTAAGAGATGGGTGGGGAGACTGGTTCGATAAGAAGGGCGACTTTTTGCGGAGGGATCGGATGTTTAAGTCCAACTGGGAAGTTCTGAATCCGCTGAACAATCCCATTTTGCAAGATCCGGATGGTCTGGGTGTGGCCGCGCTAACGAGAGGCGATCGAATCGTGCAGAAATGGTGGATGAACGAGTTTAAAAAAGTTCCGTTTCTTGTTTACAAGCCGTCAGGTGTTACACGGAAGGTCTTTAATACGGAAGTAGAAAACGGCAATGTGGACGCAAGCATCAATCAGAGCGGGAGCCTAAATGGTCATACTGATATAAACGTAATGGACAATGGTAAGGAAGCTTTAAACGAGATTAGGACTTCAGATGAACACTCCGGTAATAACCTTTGGATGATGAAGAAAGTGATCAATTTTGATGAAGGTTCGAGTTCACGTTTCAATGGCTATAGGACCTCGATATCTAGGAGTACTAAGAAGGAGAAGAGTCGGGATAGAAGCGCAGAGAACGCTGATGTAGTAGATGAAGCGTTTTTTACGAAGGGTGCAGGATCTAAACCGAGGGTTATGCCTCATATTTTGACTAGTATATATGCAGACGGCAAGCGATGGGGTTATTATCCTGGTTTACATCCGCATCTATCTTTTTCTCGTTTTATGGATGCATTATTCAAGAAAAATAAATGTGATGTGAGAGTTTTTATGGTTTGGAACTCACCTTCTTGGATGTTCGGTGTTCGGCACCAACGTGGGCTAGAGAGCGTGTTCTCGCATCATCAAAATGCATGTGTTGTTATTTTCTCGGAGACAATTGAGCTTGATTTCTTCAAAGATAATTTTGTGAAAAATGGGTACTTATCCTAATGAAATTCTTGATAATTCACAGATTTATTTTGTGATTAACTACAATTTTTGTTTAACAGTTACAAAGTTGCGGTTGCTATGCCAAATCTTGATGAATTATTGAAGGATACACCAACCCATAAATTTGCTTCCATCTGGTTTGAATGGAAAAAAACAAAGTTCTATTCTATTCACTACAGCGAGCTTGTTCGTTTGGCTGTTTTATACAAGTAAGCCTTCTCTCTCTATCCCTAAATTTCCATTTTTGCTATTGAGATATTTATGAATACAACCACTCGTGGTACAACATGGTTTTTGATTCGTCTGTTAATTAAGTCAGCAGTGCTTCTGTTTCTTGCCAAATGACATGGGGCAAGAAAAACGTTAGGCATGTCCTTACAAGACGATCTTTCATTTTGAAGGCCGGACAACCGTCAATTACTTAATACCACAGTATTTATCATTTCTAAAAGGCTAAATATATGTTTTAGTCCCTAATGTGTAAAACATTAGGGACTGAATTGAATTCTTTTAAATATGAGGGATTAAATTGAAAAAAAATATCCAAACATTAGGGGCTATAAAAAATTCAAAGGTCCTAAATGATTTTCTTTTATAGATTCTTTCTGATTCTAGGCTTTCGCAAATATCTTAAAAAGTGATTTTACGTTAGGATAAGAGAAGCAAAAAGAGTTGGGTAAGGAGGTGCTCTATCCACATCTCTGTTTATAGGATTCTTTATGTCAAGCCTTCTATCAATGTTATCCGGTCATAATTGTAGGTGCTCTTCTACTTGTAACACCCAATAAGAAAAGGTGAACTCACTATCATCCAATCTCCTATTGTGAGAATCGACATGTTTATGAGGGTTTTGTGCGCGCATGCGCATTGAAGAGAATGCAGTACCTGGGCTTAGTGTGCCTGTCGAAGGTTGGATTATATTATTTGGAAGAAAATTTTTCCGGAAAAGAGGGCTAAGGACTACCTAGTAAATTTTAGTGAACATTTAAATGTAATCGTCTTTATTGTGGCAAAGGCTTGTCTGAATTGAGTCCCGACTTTTGATATCGTATTTATTTTCTATCCACGTTCTCTATTTATAGGATTCGTTATGTCAAGCCTTCTATCGATGTTATCAGGTCATAATTGTAGGTGCTCTTCTACTTGTAACACCCAATAAGAAAAGGTGAACTCACTATCATCCAATCTCCTATT